GGGAAAGGACGAGCCCATCCACAAGAGTTCGGGCAAAAGCCTTGGGGTTTAATATCGCAGGGGAATTCTAGGGACTCTGTGGAAAACACACCGGCACACACAGCATCCATCGACCGGCAGAGAGAGGGAGCTGGGGCATATATCCCCAGTTACTGGCTGCAGGACAGCTCCTGCAGGGCATTAATTCCCTGGAACCTCTGGCCTGAGATGGCTTGAGGGCAGAGCAAACAGCCAGAGGTGACAGGGCACAGGTGTTGGAATCTGGAGCTGGTGTGCACAGAAGGATGAGATGTGAGAGGACATGGGCCGAACACCAAAGGGACAGGTGAATCGTGAGCTGACAGTGGCCATCCCTGTCCCCACCAGCTGGAGAAGGCTGGAGCTTTGAAAGAACAATGTTTTTCAACTTCTACTCTCCCTATGAAAGTTCCAGAGTCCTCAGGACCCCATTTCAGGTGGGACTCAGCTGAGAGTTCCCTCGGCCAACTGTCTGGGAAAATGCTAACCTACAATTTCTTCATCTTTAAACGAGAATGACAGTACCTACTTCTTGGAAGCGTTTCAAAGATTAATGATGATAATGCTTGTAAGTTGCTTAACACAATGCCTAACACAAAGCAGATATTCAAACAAACAGTGATTCGTAAGAATACGGGCACCAGCAGTATAATTTAATATTAATCAGCCATGCAGCTCTCTTCCGGCACTTTGGTTACTATGTCTGGAGGTGAGGGTTGGAGGGGAGAATAAAGAAAGGTAGGACATTTGTGCTCATTGATTTTGGATTTCTCAGCCCAGTGGGTTTTTGAAACTTTTTATTTTGAAATGTAGATTCACAGGAAGTTACAAAGCGTACAGAGCGGGCTCTTGTGCTTCATCTAGCTTCCCGCCATGATTACATCTTTTGTAATTACAGAAAAATATCACAAGAAGGAAACTGACACCGTACAGTGTGTACATGTGTCATTTTGTCATATGTGTTGATCTGTGTGGCCACCACCACGAAGACATTCTGCACTATCCCCTCTGTAGTCACACCTTTCCTTCACCATCTCAGACTCCCAGCAACCACTCACTTCTCCATCTTTATTACTGTGACAATTCAAACATGTTGTGTAAATAGGATCATACAGTGTGTGCCCTTTGGAGACTGGTCACAATGCCCTTGGGATCTATCCAAGTTGTTTCATGCATCAGTAGTGTGTGCCTTTTAATTGCTTAGTGGCGTTGCATGGCATCCTCAGTACCACGGTTAACTGTTTACCCATTGTAGGTGTGTTAGTTGTTTTCAAGTTTGGGGCTATTACAAATGAATCTTCTACGTACAAGCCTGTAAGGTTCATGTGTGGACCTAAGTTTTCATTTCTCTAGGTTAAATGCCCAGGAATGCAATTGCTGACTTGTACGCTAAAGTATATTTTAAGATTTTTTTTTTTAAAGAAACTGCCAAACTTTTCCAGAGTTAGATGTATCGTAATGTTCCTCTCTATCCCTGGTGGTAGTCTTTGCCCTGAGATCAACTTCATCTGATATTAATATAGGCTCTCCTGCTTTCAATTAATGTTCGCATAATATAACCTTCACAATTTTACTTCCAAGCTACCTGTATCGTTATATTTAAAGTAAGTTTCTTGTAGACAGCATACAGTTGGGTCACTTTTTTAATCCACTCTATCATTATCTGTCTTTTAATTGGCTTGTTTAGACAATTTACATGTGGTTTGTACATACCATGCATGACATTATTAACATGTCAGGGCTTACGTCTACTTTACTAATTGTTCTCTGTTCTTTTTTTTTTTTTTTTTTGCGGTACGCGGGCCTCTCACTGTTGTGGCCTCTCCCGTTGCGGAGCACAGGCTTCGGACACGCAGGCTCAGCGGCCACGGCTCACAGGCCCGGCCACTCAGTGGCATGTGGGATCTTCCCGGACCGGGGCACGAACCCGTGTCCCCTGCATCGGCAGACGGACTCTCAACCACTGCACCACGAGGGAAGCCCTCTGCTTTTTATTTGTGTTTTCTTTATTCTTCCTGTGAGTTTCTTGAACACTTTTTTAAGAATTCCCCTTGCACGTATCTGTACTGTTTTTGAGCGTATCTCTGCATAGCCTTTTTAGTGGTTGCCTAGATATTACATTATGTATATATAATTTGGTGTACTGGTGTCAGTATTCTACCAGTTTGAGAGAAAGTTTACCTTCCTTTACATTCCATTTCTAGAAGTTCAGCCAATAGGCCAGCCTCGGCTGGGATGTTAGGATCTGGACAGAGTTTCCTTTGGAGGCTCCTGGCCTGTGATGTGAGGATAAGCTGCCATTTTATAGGGCTGTCAAGTAAGGTAGTGAGGGCAGCAGGCAGCACCAGGCCCCCAGGCAGCCCCCAGTGACGTCAGATTTGCAAAACCAGATGCCTCCAGCTTCCCTCTTTTTTTTGCACAAGAATGTTACCACCTTTAACCCTTCACCTCCACCCTCCGCTCTGCCTCAGGCCCCTCTGGCAAATGTGAGTTTCTGGTTTGTGTGTTTACTCTTCCCCCTCCGAGAACACTCCCTTGAGTTGCCATTGTGACTGATGGTGGGACTGCTCCCTGGGGAGGAGACCAGCTGGTCTGGGGACATATCTCAGCCCACAGCCACTCCCTGTGTGTGGTCCAGGGCACACCTTCTCTGCTTGACTGTGAGTCACATGACGGAAGACACCGTGGGCCTCACTCCACCAGCAGTGAGCCCGTGAGCGGCGGCTCGAGAACTCTGTCAGGAAGACCATCCCACGGCCAGCCCAAGACACAGGGTCCTTGGAAAGGCCTGCTTGCAAAGTTGGCCTTGGCTGGAGTCTGGGAACTAGGACGGTAAACCATTCCCGATATAAAACTTTCCCTAAGTAATAAGAGGGCCTCGCTAGGTCTACAATGTTTATACAAACAATGGGATTTATGCTGAGCACCTGCTTTCTTTCCAGAAATCTGAAATTTTGGTACATGCTGGGCAGAGGCTGCCTATGTGAGCAGCTCCAGTGAAATCCTGGGGCACTGAGTCCCTGGGGAGTTTCCCCCCGGCACACACTTTATCTAATTCCTGGAGGAATGAGGCATGTCCTGTGTGGCTGCCCCCGGAGGGGACCCTGGAATCCTGTGCCTGGTTTCGGGAACTTCTCCCCACGAGCCTCTTCCCTTGGCTGATTTGGTCCTGTATCCTTCACTGTAAAATTCACAGCCCTGAGTACGACTGTGCACCTGCCAGGTCCTGGGAATCCTCCCAGTGAATTCCTGAGCCAGAGGGTGGGCGTGGGGACCCTTGACACACTCACAAAGACAGGTGTCAGTCACAGAGTTGTACGTGCGTGGGACAGAAACTGGGCTCTCCAAGCTCAGGCCAGAGTCAGGATGTGCCTGACTCGTGAAAAGCCTCAGAGATGTAGCCTGGAGGCAGAAACCAAGTGATGAGCTTCCCCCAAAGGATTAACAACCTTCTGCTCAAACCACATCAGCCGCCTAAAGACCATTGACTATGGGCATGATTGTGTGAGTGCACACGTGTGAGATTTGGGTGGCTGTGAGTGTGCATGCACGTGTGAGCGTGTACCGAGATCCTGATGAGGGATTCAAGGGCCTTTCAGATTCTACAATGCAAAGCACACAGCACGACCGTCCAACGTTTCATCAAGGACCTTTGCACATATGCACCTAGGCATCCAGACAGGAGTTGTTCCACAGCTGGTAATGGTTCATCCAGGGCACAGTATATATACCAGAAAATCACAAATGAAACTCTGTGGAAGGAGAAAGAAAACGGAAAATCAGCTTTCAGGGAAATATTTTTTTTGAAGGCAACAAAAATTCCTGCCTCCACCACCAGCCCCTGCCTGGGGAGTCTGGAGCTGGGCTGACACGTGGGCAAGGCCAGATCTACTCACTGGCACATGCTGGGGGTGAGAGGGTCAGCCAAGCCGGCACAGGAATGTCACCCTGGGGCCCCCCGCCCAGTCCTCCTGCACCCGCCAGCTTGCAGGAGGTGCTGCCAGGAGGGACCAGAAGGAGGACATAGGTTGGAAGGCAAGGAGGTGACTGAACAACCCACAGGGACCCAGCGGTGCAGCCCAGACAGAACAATCCCCGAGGAAGGTAAAGCCGCTTCCACCTAAGGGCCGGGGAGTGTGCCAGGTGGGTGAGGCGTCCAGCAGCCGGGAGGCCTGGGGCCAGGGCTGTGCCAGTGCAGGGTGGTGAGACACCCAGTCAGATGGCTTCCCTTCCCCCTCTCCCGGCCCCAGGCACCACCGGTGGCATCAGGCAGCCCTGGGGCTGCGTCCTTGCTCTGTCCCAGCCACACGGCTGCCAGAGCTTCCGACATCCTGTCCATGTTTCCTTGTAAAACGTTTATTCCCCCCTTGACCGGAGCGCCTTCTCAGACAGCTGCCAGCACACACCTTCTGCAGCTTCTTGCTCTGAATGGGGCACCAGGAGTTGTTCGTGCTGTTCCTCTTGCACTTGGTCCGGCTAATTTTCACGGTGACTAGGTACTCCACGCCTGTCGTCAGCTACCAAGAAGCAAAGCCTATTAGATTTGTTTGTTTGTTTTTGAAATATTTATTTTGGCTGCACCAGGTCTTAGTTGTGGCACATGGGATCTTTAGTTGTGTCATGTGGACTCCGTTGCGGCATGCACCCGGAATTTAGTTCCCTGACCAAGGATCGAACCTGGGACCCCTGCATTGGGAGCACAGAGTCTTACCTACCTACCACCAGGGAAGTCCCAAAGGGCTGTTAGTTTTGACTCCAAGCATTGCTGATGCTCCCCAGGAGGAGCTGGGTTGGAGAGTGAAGTCCCAGGAGCCTCTGTCTCCATTCCCTCCTCCCCTCCTGGCTGGAGGATGCCCAGTGGTCCCCGGTCAGCACCCAGCATGTGCGGAGCCCGGTCCCTGCTCTGCACCAGTTCCACTGCTGCAGCCACAGGTGGCTTCTCACCTGTCTCCCTCGCATCCTTGGGACCAGGGAGGCAACTTGGCTGCAGCCCCATCGTACCCCGCTAGTCTGCACAACGGTCCTCAGAATGCATGGATGGAGCCTCATCGGTTCCCTGGGCTCTGCCTCTGTCCTCTTCCTCCCTCCCCACTGCCTTGTCCCAAAGTCAGTGGTCAAACCAGTGAGAAGGCTGGGCACTCTCTGGGGTGGCCCCCGGAGGACAGCCCCCCAGAAAACCTCAGGGCAGAGCAGCAGGGGAGGGGGCCTGGGGCAGGACCACCGCCCTGGTCCCGGCAGCCACTGGAAGGACCTCAGGATGCAGGGCTTCTGGCTCTCCACTGAAGGACGGCTGTATCCAGCTTGCAGGGCTGGTGCCAAAGATTTCACACTGACCCTCAGCACACCCCGCATGTGTGAAGAAATTAAAACACTGGTGGCAAATTTAACTAACATTTCAGAGTGCACAGTGTTTTCTTATTCATTGTTAGGCTCGTTAGTTAAATAATAATTAGAATAATCATGATGATACACATGTTTTCACAGGTGCCGCTTCTCTCTTATTCTGCCCACATTGCAGGTCAGGAAACTGAGGCCTGGAGAGTATGGATGGTGCTTGACCGAGACTCCACGATTAGGAGGAGCTGGGTGTCAAACCCAGAAGGGGGACCAGGAGCCCAACAGAGACGGCCACCTCATCCCCTCCCTGCCCTCTGTGAGGTACAGATGGACACAATCACGTGGCAGCAGGTGATCGTCACCCAGCTACCCAGGGGTGCACCCGCTCTGTCCACTAATCCAGCTGCACGACATCAAAAGTTTGCTTATAAACAATGATTTCAGTTAACTGCTAGTGACAACGGACCAACTCCACATGACTGGCCTCCTTGGGTTCCAGCTTCACCCCAAAGACTGATGGGGGAGAAAATGCCAACCTGGGCAGAATTTGGTGGATGGCCGCCACCTTGTGGCCATGTCACCTCAATGTCCTTGGCGCCGCGAGCAGCCATCTTGCAGCAAGAGTGTGTGACTCAGGCAGACAGGCTGCTGTCCACACCCTGTGAGGCCCCTTAGTGTCACACTAGCACTTCCCGCCTGCCCTGCCCCACCCTGGCTGGTTTCTGTGTTCCTGCCATCCCTCTCTCTAGCCAGAACCCTATTCTCCTACTCAGTGTTTTTTCCAAATCCAGTTAATTGAATGAAGATGCATTATTGCCTCTTCCCTAACTCATATAGTTTACTATCTAAGCTTGAGGGCAGGTTGGACCAACAAAAGTGTTTTTTTAACAACTTTTCTTTCCTCTATTATCCTTCAATTGATGTATTTCAGAGAAACTTTATATGTAAAACAAAATGAGAGATGACGTGTACCTCCAGTTTCCTTTAGGACCCTGCTAGAGGTCCTCTGTGTCATTCCAGCTTCCTGAAGGACATCCAGACAGATTTTACAACCCTGGACATGGAAAAACTATTGCTGAGGGGAACCTACAGAGAACACTTAAGTTTTGCCAAACGAGAGGAATAATAAAGGAGACGAGACCATCCTCATTTGCTGTCCTTCTGGCAAATTTCTAAATGAAAGCAATTCTTCCCTCGGAAGAGCAGCTGAGGAGCTCGGGGACATTTCCGTTCAAATGAGAGTAACCTCGGTGCTCAGGTGGCTCTGGGTCTGAATGACCCTGCTCCCAGGAAGGCGCCCCCTGGTCCACTCTGGGAGGCACACCTGTGCCCACGAGGCCCTGCTCACCCGCTCTCACCTGCACCTGGCTTCGGAGCAGCTGGTCCACGCGGAACAGGTGGGAGTCATCGCTGTTGTTGTTGTACGTCTCCAAGAGGAAGGCGACGGTGGAGTTCTCGTTCTTCGGGCTCGTGGACTCCTGGAAGCCGCTCCACTGTTGCAATTGACCCAGCCTGACCACCAGGGCCAGGGCCACCAGCAGCAGCAGAAGGTTCCCCCAGGGTCCAGCTCCCATCTCTGTGTCCTCAGAAGCCTCCTCTCCACCGGGCCTTCCAGTTAGAAAGGTGCCAGCCTCGTCCACTCACCCTCTCTCCCCACAGCCGTCACCCATGCAGGCTTCCTCAGGAGATGTCCGCCTGCCATAAAACAGAGACTGAGGCCCCAATCCCTTCCTTCAGGTCCTGCCCATGACTCGACTGGAGGACCCGCCAGGGAAGTCTTCCCGCGCGGCTGCCCAACCTGCCGTCAGCTCGTTCACCTTTCTTGCCCCTTGGGTTCTTCAGTGTTTGAGGCAAGTGTGATTTCTAAACACCCACCAAGGCTGGCAAGACCCTCTCGTTACCTTCACACCCAGTGAGGACAAAAGCCCCCAGAACAGACCCCAGAGGCAAGAAGAGCTGGTGTATCAGACAGAGAAGGGCCATTTGTGGGACTCGGGGAAGGCCATGGAGAAGGTAATATTTGATCTGGGATGCAAGGAATCAGGGACACTGAACAGGATACATTCCACAGTACCTACAGTGGGTTCCAGCCGTCCAGCCCGGCCATCCACTATTCCGTACTTGCTCTCGACACTGGATCTCTGCCACCCACTAGCTACAGAGTTCAGCCTGCTGGATCCCACTGTGCCTGCACCCCAGCGCTAGCTCTTACCATTTGGTGTGACCCCAGCGGAGCTTTGTGAGGTAACCCCAGCCTCTCTGTGAGGGAGGAATGAGCTGTGGGCCTTATTCAGAGATTAATCCTGCAGACTTCTGCAGGTTAGGTGTTGCCCATATAGGGAAGGGAAATGTCCTCTCCCCTCTTTGGGTCTCTGGCTGAGCCTAAGAATTAAACTGACAGAAGACAGATGAACAGGAGACAAGTATACAAACTTTACTGGCTTTGACATGTACATGGGAGACTTCACAAGAGAATGAAGACCCAGAGAAGTGACCAGAACAGGGAGCTTTCATACTTTGTAGATAGGGACACGATAAATCTGTGAAGTTGCCAAGACAAAGGGGTTGGGCTCAGGGTGCCCAGTGGTGAAGGGGTAGCAAGTTAGTTTAAGCAGCCTCCTTGGCCCTGCCTTCCCATCTCTGGTTACCAGGACATCCTCTAACTTCATGTGCAGAAAGGGGACCTTTCACTTGGGACATTTATCTCCTGCTTCAGGGAGGAAGGGCCAGTGGGAGGTCAGAGTGACCTTCCTGCTTCTGCCACTTTTTCAGACTCCTCCAGCTTAAGACAGTCCATAAGCCAAGGTGCCATATTTGGGGGTAGCATGTCCTGAACCCCATCACCTGCACCCAGAAGCCTGTAAAAGCTCCCTATTTTTAAGACACTCATTAAGGTGGGATCCTGAAGGGGGTTCTGCTCCAGAAAAAGAACATTAGTGGGACAATTGATGAAATGTGGATAAAGTCTGTAGATTAATAGCATAATAAGAGAAAATGGGACTCTGATGATTTCCATGGAATGAGAGGAAAATATACACCCTGGCTATGTCTGTAGAATAAAACTAAAAGAAGCCTTGTCGTGTCACTCCCGGAGTTCTTGGGCTCATGGCAGTGTCACTCCAATCTGTGCCTCCATCTTCACATGGCTCCCCCTGCCTCCCTTGGTCTCAAATCTGTCTCATCTTTCTCCTATAAGAGCATCAGTCTTGGGGCTTCCCTGGTGACACAGTGGTTAAGAATCCGCCTGCCAATGCAGGGGACACAGGTTTGAGCCCTGGTCCGGGAAGACCCCCCCTGCCACGGAGCAACCGAGCCTGCATGCCACAACTACTGAGCCCGCGCTCCAGAGCCCGTGAGCCACAATGACTGAGCCTGCCTGCCACAACTACTGAAGCCCACGCGCCTGGAGCCTGTGCTCCGCAATGAGAGAAGCCACTGCAATGAGAAGCTCACGCACCGCAACGAAGAGTAGCCCCCGCTTGCCACAACTAGAGAAAGCCCACGCAGCAACGAAGACCCAATGCAGCCATAAATAAATAAATAAATTTTATATATTAAAAAGAAGAACATCTGTCTTATATAATCTCATCTTAACATCCTTCACTTCATTAGATCTGTAAAGACTCTGTATCCAAGTCAGTTCCCATTCACAGGTACTAGGGGTCAGGACACGGCCATATATTTGGGGGGTAACACACTTCTACCCACTGAAGTGCGCATGGTATAAGAAGAAAATTGAGAGCACAGGGTCATGTGTATTCATTTCTGTGCCTACTATAACACAGCGCCACCAACTTGATGCCTTAAAACTATTGGGCTTCCCTGGTGACGCAGTGGTTGGGGGTCCGCCTGCCGATGCAGGGGACGCGGGTTCGTGCCCCGGTCTGGGAGGATCCCACGTGCCGCGGAGCGGCTGGGTCCGTGAGCCATGGCCGCTGGGCCTGTGCGTCTGGAGCCTGTGCTCCGCAACGGGAGAGGCCACGGCAGTGAGAGGCCCGCGTACCACAAAAAAACAAAACAACAACAACAACAAAAACTATAGAAATGTATTCTCTTGCAGTTCTGGAGGCCAGAAGTCTGAAGTCATTTTCACCAGACCAGAATCAAGGTACTGGCAGGGCCTGTCCTCCCCCAGAGGCTCCAGGGTAGAATCTGTGGCCCGGCTCCTCCAGCTTCTGGGGGCTGCCAGCGCCCTTGGCTCGCGGCCTCATCACACCACTCTCCGCCCCTGTGGTCACGTGGCCTCCCTGCTCCTGTCTGCCTCCCTCTTATGAGGATAGAGGGGAGACACACAGAGCCTGACTGGAGAATCCAGGACGTCTGCCCACCTCAAGATCTGGAACTTCAGCACTTCTGCAAAGTCCTTCTTTACCATTTAAGATTATGTTCACAGGTTCCTGGGGTTAGGATGTGAATATCTTGTGGAGGGACGTTATTTAGCCTACCACACTATGACTAGGGGAAAATCAGAGGCTGATTATATCCATGGAACGAGGGGAGGACAGGGGCCCTGGTCACGACCCAGGAAAGGGAGAAGGGGAATGAACACATCCGAGGAAACAGGAGGAAATGGGAGGAAATAGGATGCCCCATCAGTTCTATACCTAAGGGAAAAGTAGGAGTCCTGCTCATGCCTGTGGAATGAGGAAAAAGCAGGGCTACGGTTCTCCCCAGGAGTAAGGATGCAGCAGGGCATGATCATGGACTAAGGGGAAAATGGCATCCTGGTCCCATCCATGGAAAGGGAAGAATAGCGGCTGGATGACATCCATGGGGCAAGATGAATCAGGCAGCAGTGCTCCGTCCATGAATCAGAGGGAAAATACAGAGGATGGATTGTTTCCTTAGTTGAGGGGGATACTGGGGCCTTGGTCATGTCCACGGTAGAAGGGGAAACAGGGACTTGGTTAAGATCATGGAATAAGGGGAAATAGCTGGAACACGCTGCGAGGGAAGGCAACAACTTAATGTCCATAAAATAAGGGGAAACCGTGGGCCTGTCATGTCCATGAAATACGGTGGGCATAGGGGCCTCTGTCCACAAGTTAAGAGAAAAATATTGAGACTGATAAAATCCATAGAAAGGGAGAGTATGAGGCCTGATTGCTTCGTGGAGTCATGGGACAGTGGAGCCCTTGGTGTCCAGACTTTCGGGATTTTATGGCAGCTTCATCACGTAGGCATGATCGAGCTCCATTTTCAGCCCTTCCTCCTTCTCAAAAGAAAGCAGAGGTAGGGCTAAAAATCCCAAGCTTCCAATCATGGCCTGATCTTTCTGGTGACCAGCTTCCATCAAGAAGCCACCCAGAGTCACGGCATTAGAACAGAAGACACCCCCGTCACCCAGGAAGTTACGGGGTTCGAGGAGCCCTGTGCCAGGAACCAGGGGCAGACACCAGTATGTATATTTTCTATTATCTCGCAATAGGGAACTTGGTTATGTCCATGAAGTAACTAAAAGTGAACTAGAGGCCCTGGCTCTGTATCTGGCCCAATCATGTCCACAGAACAAGGGGAAAAGAGAGGACGTATTTATTTCCATGGAATAATAGGAAAATATGTTGCTTGGTTACAGCCAAGAGGTAAGAGGAAAATAGGGAGCCTGACTATTTCCATGGAATAAGGGTACACTCGTTGGTTATGTTCATGAAAAGTGAAAAATGGGAACACTGTTCTTGTCACTAGAAGAAGGGGAAAATATGGCCTGGTTATAGCATGGAACCATAGCAAATATGGGGCCTGTGCATGTCCATGGAACAAGGGGTGGGAAGGAGGGAATGCAAAGGGACGTGAGGAATCTTTGTGGGGTAGATGTGTTCATTTTTATGGATTGTACAGATGATCTCATGGGAGATTCGTATGTCAAAGCTCATCAAAGTGTGAGTTTAAATATGTGAGTTCATTGTATGTCAATTATACCTCAAAAGAGCAGTTTGGATGGATGGATGAGTCAGTGGGTGGAGAGGTGGATGGAAGGACAGATGGATGGATGAACAGATGCATGGACAAATGCATGAATGAGTAAGTGGACAGGTGGATGAATGGACAGATGGATGGATAGAAGGATGGATGGACAGTTGGGTGGATGGAGGGATGGATGGATGAATGGATGGATGGATGAATGGATGAGTGAGTGGGTGGACAGGTGGATGGATAGATGGATGAAGGGTGTGCAGGAATAAGCACAGAGCTTCCTGTGGAACAGACACTCGGACTGGAGTCCCCCTCCTGCCACCACCCCTTTTCCTGACTGGTACCCGGGCCACTGAGTGGAAAAGGGCTGCCCCTGCACAGCCTTGTGGGGGCAAGGATGAGAAGAGTGAGGTCTGCCCCTTGGCCCCTTCCAACTGCCTGGACCCAGGCTACCTTCTCGTCTGCTGCCACGCCACTCAGAGGAAGACAATAGTTGGTTCTTAAGAAAGAGGAAGCATCTTTCCCCAGAGTCCAACAAACCTGACCTCCTGACTCACAGGCTGAACCTGGTAGCAGAGCCATGGCTGCACCAGTCACGGTGGCAAGAGGATGGGATTCATCTCAGATGAGCCCTTGGCTGGTTGTGTGTGGGTCAGGTAGC